TGCAGATCCAAAGGCACTGCCTCTCTCCAAATGTGGGATCCATCCAGGGGGGCGTTCACCAATTGAAACTTCAGCTTCTACTTTCACTATATTAGTTTATCAACTTTATTGTACATTTAATTAACTTAAAATTCAACCAAATTGACGTTAATCGACATTAAAACAAGTGACACGCTGCACAACTTAAGGACGGTTGGTTAAAGTTCAAAGTCCCAGGTTCACTTAGCACAAAACTATGACCACGAGAAGAACGCGGTCTCTTCTAGAGGCCCAACGGTCAGCGTTCTCCCGACAAAGTAAAAGTCTTATCACGCTATCAACCGACACACTAATAACTCGTCGATGCAATTAACGGCATAAAAGTTCCTTTAATCACTCCAAACTCCAAGTAAGCCTCTTCACGTAACACGTTCAAAGCAGACAACCAAATTCGAGGCGGTCTAATAAGACCCAAATGTTCAATAGTAATTCAAAATGGCGCGCAAAATTAACACAAGCTTTAGGCCTTTAAGTCCAAACACTGGCCGCGCACAAACAGATACCAGTCACAAACAATAATTAAAACGGTTACAACAACAATTATATGATTCCGGCCTCGTTATCATGAAAACAAATTAAGATAACACTGTAAGAGGCTCGCAACGTATAATCGTCCCGGGAGCAAATAAACTCAAAAATAATCCTCGTTGTCACGTATATTAACGACAAAATACAACTCCATAGAGACCGTCTTTCGACGCAAACTATTATCAAACTCGCGACCTCTAAATCGACCCGGGCGTCACGCAACAACTATTATGTAACACCCTATGTCTAACCGACGCAGTCTCACCGCTCAAGGATTCCGGCCGACTGGGGCACTTGCTGTGCGCGTACGGCACGTCAAGCCCCCACCTCCCGCGCAACGCTAACCGTTTCCTCACCCCGCTCGAGACGCGCGTCCGGCAATCTGCAGCTTGTAACAATCGTGCGTGAACAATAATTATAAATAAAATGATAAATATAAATAAATATTACTAGAATAAAATAAATAAATAAAAAGCCTAGACAGATTGAAGCCCTCGGCAGTTGAGACCAAACGGCCGTGGGTTAGAGGGAAAGGGAAAGAAACCGGCGGACGATGCGAGCGTTGTTGCGGAGCACCACCTTCTGCATTTGAGCTTGTAGCAGTCAGTTACGGAGTCCCAGTCGCCTCCGATGACCCGAGAGGCTGACAGGGATTAATCCGTTCGCAAAATGACTACAGGTATAATTGCGATCGGTAGACCACACCACATTTCGGTCACCTCGTGAGCCAAGTCCAGATATTTTGTTCGCTTATCGTTTCGGCTTTCACGAGGTTCTCGTCATACGGAATGGTAATGTCCGAAAAAACCGAGTATACATTTTATAAACATGATATATTTTAAATTTCATTTAATTTGAACCAGTAGTTTAAGAAGTAAGGTACCTGAGGTTATTAAGGCCTAGCTAAGGGAAATTTGTAATAAAATTAAAAATATCCAACATAATCTACGAGTTTTGTTATTAATCAGTCATGTACTTAAATTACTACAGAGTTTAAACAATAAATTGCTTATCTAGCTTAAAACCAAAACAATAAAATTTTAAAACGCAGTCTGTAGGCCTTATTATACTAGGGTAGAGAGTAAAAAGGCCTATATTTTAAACCAGTGATGCACAGACTTATTAAGACTAGGGGCCACTCGGGCAAATTATGAACTGATGGCGGGCCGCCAGAAGTATAGGTAATTAAAGACAATAAATAATTGATAATAATGTATTAAAATTGAAAAAGAATTTATTAATTTGAAACGTGGCACTGCATAGTGCTTACAATTATTTTATATTTGGCTCAATTTTACTCGTAGCAACACGTAAAACTGCTTCCAAACTTTCATTTGCAAGGCGGTTTCGATTTTTTGTTTTATTATTATTTAGTATTGAAAAGGTTTGTTCACATATATAGGTATTTCAGAGCGTTTATGCGCAACTCTTTGTACGTATTTTTATCAATGCAACGATAAAAGTTCAGCAAGTCTCCTTCGTTGAATCCGTTGCGTAAATCTTGGTTGAATGTCGATAATATCTAACTGTATTGACTCTGGCGCATTTTCAACTGAAATCGTGGAAGGATTGCTGAATATGTCCAACAGAGATTTCACTTTTTTAAACTCCGAAAATCTGTCTTGAAAAGATTGAATCAAAATATCTAGCTTTTCTACATAACTGAAATTAATCGCAGTTTTGTTGAATTTTTCAGCCATTTTCTTATAATTCGGAAAATGATTGTAATTTCCAGAATTCAATTGCATTGAAAGTATGATACATTAGCATAGAGCTGGGATATCAGTTGATTTTTGCATTGAAGCCGTGTGTTCAAGACATTCAAATGATTTGTAATATTAACTAAAAAAGCCAAATCACACAACCAATCGGTAAGTTTCGGGACATCCCTTTGCTTTTCCGCCAGAAATATTCCAATTTCTTCTATTAGATTTAGAAATCGTTCCAGTGTCAATCCACGACTTAGCCACCTTACTTCTGTATAATACAGTTAATCTCCATATTCGCTTTCGATATCATCAAGGAATTGTTTGAATTACCTGTGATTGAGTCCTCGTGATTTTATGAAATTTACAGTCGAAACTACCACTTTTATGACATTTTGAAATTAAATTTTTTTAGAACAGAGGGCTTCTTGGCGTATAATGCAGTGAAACTGCGTGAGATCTTCAGAGTTTTTGTTTTTTTTTCTTGGAGATGCTTTTTCAGCAAAGTAACTAGCCCGAATTGCCACCTATCATCGAAGGAGCACCGTCAGTCGCTACTCCCGATAATTTTGATAAGTCCAAATCAGTTTTTAAACGGTCATTTAAAAGTACATTGAGTATATCAACTCCTCTGGTTTGACCTTTCAATGAACACATTCCTAATAACTTTTCTAAGACTTCAAAATCTTGAGTAACACCTCGTATGAATATCAGAAGTTGAGCTGTGGAACTAATATCAGTGGATTTGTCGAGTGCTAATGAAAAAAATTCAATGATCTTAGTTTTTTCATTTAATTGTTCCGCAATATTACCTGACAAAGACATAATTCGTCTTTGGATAGTCATACGATTCAGTTGAATTTTCTCAAACTTTTTTGCTGCTTCTGGACACATTTTCTTAGCGGCATTTTCTATGCATTCTTTTACAAAATCCCTATCATTGAAGGGGCGACTTCGCTTTCTTATCGTTGGAGAAATTTCATAACTAACTTCTGTAGCTGTTTCTGAATCTTGAATGTTTTAAAGACAACATTTTTTTCTTTCTTAATTCGCCTGTAAACTTGGTAAAAGTAGGATGCTGCGTTTCGTAGTGCCTTTTTACATTATATTCCTCTGTAATCGCAATAGAATTCTTCCAAATTAAACAAACGACTTTGTTATGCGACCATACAAAAAAGTATTTCTCAGTCCAAATTTCTTGAAACTGCCGATTTTCATCTTTAACTTTACGTTTTTTACTAGGTCCTGGCTTTTCAATGTTGCGTTCTAATTCTGGCTAGGATTAATACAGCACCTAAAAACAATTACAGTACCTACTTAAATTACCCATCCTAAATTACCAAAAACAATTGATTAAATAGGTAGGGAAACTCTTATTAATAACAGAGTTTGACTTACGATTTCACAACACAATTATACATGGCACTTGACGAGAAATCTACGTTGAATGTGGATCGAAATATATGACACCGGCTAGTCGAGTTAAAATCTACACTAGAACTATTGACAGTTCACTCAAATTAAAACCGAACTGTCGGTTGCTGCGGTTAGCGTGGCTTTTATACCGTGCGTATAGAGTCGAAAACTGTCTGGAGAAATCACGAAACCGACTCTGGAAGCTTCGTGTATCTACCTACGTGAGCAATCGGGAATTCGGAACTATTGTTTTCTCGCTTGCTCTAACAATATAACCCGTGGATAAGCCGCCACCGCGCTGTCGTCGTTGCGTACCAGCTACGCTGCCCACTTCTGCTTATTTTGCCATCTCTTGGATACCAATTTGTGACAATTTGGTTCCATTTTTCTTGACGGTTCCTCAGCATGTGTCCAGTCCATCTCCACTTTTGTAAGTCTATTCATTGTAATATATCAGGTTTTGTTCCGAGTGTCTTTATTCCTGACCCGGTCGGTTTTCTTTATACCAATCATGCTCCTCTCCATTGCTCGTTGGCATGTTAACAATTTATTTCTGTGTGAAGCTGTGAGGGCCCAAGATTTGCATTCGTATGTTAAGCAGGAAAGGTCTCCCTCACCCTCTCACGGTGCTGTAAGCTGTAACGCACATAAATATTACCGCTCCGTTGTTTTAATGGTAATTTATCAAGTTAAGTGAGCAAATTATAAGAAAAATATAAAAGTTAGGTGGATTTAACAGTGTCTTATAGTTAAATAGTGTAAAATCACGAATATTATTAACAATTGAAGTATAAAAAGTGTTAAAAAGGATTGTAACGGTCATACGGTCACTTTTATAAAGTAAATACAGTGAAATATCTTAAAACTCTTACTATGGAACGTTTTGATTATTTGAATACCAAAATCAATAATAAGTGTCAGACTAAAAACCCAAACAGTAAAATAAGTGATTTAATAACCTAAGAATTTAAAATGACTGAACAATATTAATTCATCGATCTAAGGTCATTTCACCGCCATCTATCGGTGAATACGAAAATTTACAATACTTCACGGCCTATCACAGTAAGGTTATCACTACTAAATAAAAGAGGGCGTTTATTCAGGATAACGTTATTGTTTTTCTAAAGAAATATGGAGGAAATAAAAGATATGCTTCTTAAAATTGAGGCTGATATGATGTCCCAAAAAGAAGAAATAAAAGGTATGGAAAAAAATATCACAACAAACATCAATATCAATATAAACGAAAAATCAAAAAAAATTGAAACAAAAACTAAACAACTGCAGGAAAAACTCGCGGAACAAGAAATGGCCCTGGAAAAAATTGAGAGACAGCTGCGTAAGAAAAATTTGGTGTTGTTCGGAGTTGAGGAAAAAAAGGGTTCATATTTTGATCTGGTAGATACCGTTTTGGAAATAATAAAAGAGTTTATGAAAATAACTTGCGAAAAACAAGAAATAGAGTCTGTTAGAAGAATAGGAAAAATTGGTGAGAAAGCAAGACCCGTTATAATATCATTTACAACAATGGACCGAAAAATTGAGGTTTTAAGTATCAAAAAAGCTCTAAAAAACTCTCCTTACTATATCATGGAAGATTATCCTAAGAAAATATTAGAAAAACGAAAACAGTTAAAGGAAGACCTGGTGTAGCCATGGAAGGAAAAGGGGAGATCTCCCACCAGGCAAGGTGTTCTACCTGGGGAGCGGCCGACACTCCGTGTGATAGTTCGGAGATGTTCTAGATATACTGTCTATGATTCGGAATGTTAATAGCGCGATTTAGGCATCGATGTGTTTCGGTGTGTTAGTGGCGCGATGACAGCGCCGCTACATCACCCCCCTGCTCAGACCGGAGGTCGATAGTGCAGCCTCGTTACCGACGAATGTGCAAGTGCCAGGAGCGCCTTGCCTTGTAGTCTGTGGTGAGTCGAGAAGAAGGCAAGTAATCTGCGAGAGTGCCGTGAAGCAGAGGCGAGCAGTAAGGCTCAGAGCCGTGCCGAACACTGTATAGCGCAGAGAGTAGCTTGAAGGAACAGGAAGCATTATTATTCCAGTGCTGCGATGAACCTTGTGAAGCTAGATGGCTTGCAGGATATGAAGACTGCAGTTTATATCTGCTCGGGAGCGAATGGGTGGGGTATTCTATGACGATGATGAAGCTTGAAGTTTCCGAAGGTTGTTTGGTTGCGTGTTCAGATCACGTCGGGGTCACCACTGTGGCCATGAAAGGAAAAGGGGAGATCTCCCGCCGGGCAAGGTGTTCTGCCCGGGGAGCGGGCGACACTCCGCACGATAGTTCGGAGATGTTCTATATATACTGTCTATGATTCGGAATGTTAATAGCGTGATTTAGGCTTCGATGTGTTTCGGTGTGCTAGTGGCGCGACGACAGCGCCGCTACACCTGACAATGCAGTCGTCAGGTATGATAAAATTATAATTCTTAAGGACAAAAAATTACTGAAGTAAAATAACAAGAGAAATTTATCGGTATCACCAGAAAACTCTGGAACATTCAACTCTCCATTTACCAATAACATTACTCAGACTTCTAAAAGGAATAGGACTATTAAAGCAGTTATGGCAACAACAAAAGTGAAAGAAAATATGACAAAGAGGGTTAAGGAAACCATGTGGTCTACGGAATAGCAACAAATAGTGTCCTTCTACGTCTATTAAAGCAACAGGAAGAAAACTCTACAAAAACATTAAACACAGCTCTCAACACGGGTGGTCGCCGCGAGACTAGACCAGAACCCTCCAGCGATAGTTTATCGAATAAAAAGCAAACTCTAATAACAAAAACAGGTTCTAAAAGAAGAGGTACAATCGAAATATTAACTCTTAACACAAGAACTCTAAGAACATAAGCAAACCTTCAGGAGCTTGAAATCGCCCTATCGGAACTACGATGGGACATATTGGGGATCAGCGAAATGCGCAGACTTGAAGAATCAATCGAAGACCGTAATCAATATATACTCTACTATAAAGGTGTAATTCCAGGACAAAGGGGAGTCGGATTCCTTATTAAAGCCTCGCTGAAGAATCAAATAAAGGAGTTCACAGGCATATCTGACCGTATAGCCAATGTCAATATGACATTACTTGGTTATAGCAAGGATTGGGTAATCATAAAAATGTATGCCCCAACAAAGCAAGCTAACCCTAGCGACTTAGACTAGTTCTATCAAGCCCTTAGTGAAACAATAATTAAAGTAAACAACCATAACATTGTAATGGGTGACTTTAATGCACAGGTTGGAGTAAGTAGCAGTGTACAGCTTCACACTTTCAAAAGTCTTCACCAATACTATATGTGTTCATTGGAAATGAAACTCCAAATGTACGGTGGATGTAGTGCATGTATTTGCTAAATAGTACAAAAATCGCAAACTTACTTAATGGTCCGGCTGGACACTCCCTACATAGTGAATTAATTTTTACCTTATAAATAAATCGGCGACACCTAGTGTTCAATCATTTACAATACAATAGAAAACAGCGCAGACTACTAGATGACAACTAAATTAGAATACAGCGCTATTAAAGAAACAATGACATAAGTTATTATTGAAATTCATATCATCTGTAAATGAATATTATCTGTATTTTACATTCCGCCCGCCATGAACGAATGGTTCATAACTAACATTTTAGTAATAAAACAAAGATTGCAAACTAAATTAAAACATATAAAACAAATTCATAAAACAAAAAGAAATTGAACTAAAACTTACACTAGGTATACTTATTAATGGTCATTTTGAACTGGGAGAATACAAATTTTGGATACAGGTCTCTTTATAACACTCCCTTTACATCGTAAACTTGGTCCAAACTAGTATGTTTCTCTACAATAATACCATGCAACCATCGTACCGGGGGAAGATCTTCTTCCATAACTAAAACTAAATCACCCACATTTGGCTCTGGAATTAGCTTTTGCCACCGGTATCGTTGCAAGAACCGTGTCAAATATTGAATCATCTTTTCCAAAATTGTTGAACCATTCTCTGTGTTAATTGCCATCTTTTAAGGTAAGTAATATTAGAATTTTTATTGTCACAGTCCGGTAGTAATAAAAGGGGCTCCCCCTATAGGAAATGACCAGGCGTCAACGGGTATGGATCTTCGAAGTCATCAGTGCTAACCTGAGTTATTGGTCTTGATTTAAGGCAAGCTGCAATTTGACACAGAACTGTAGTCATTTCCTCAAAAGTCAAAGTGGTTGTACCAATTACACGTTTGAGATACTGTTTTGTTGTCTCAATCCAGCTCCCCAAAGTCCTCCAAAATTTGGACTATAGATAATAGAACATGTGACTAATGTTTTCGAGTTAATAATGTGACAATTTCAAACACACGATTGGCCACAAAAGTTTTTCACCTTCCCGGGTGACTACTGAGCCACGTCAAAACAATTGAGGAATCTGTCCAAGCATGAGCGTGGTCCTTAGGCACTTTCATAACTTCAGCCACTTCTGTCAATAATTTGGCAAGTAGTAAGGCTCCGCATAGCTCCAAACGAGGTATGGATACCTGCTTCACAGGAGCCACTCTCGTTTTAGCAGCAATCAGGTGAACATATACGTTGCCGTGGCAATCTATAACTCGTGCATAAACTACAGCACCGTATGCATCATTAGAAGTATCACAAAAGCCTTGAAGATCAATGCTGCGGTCTTCACGTTTCTGAATCCATCTGCTTATGTTATGACCAGTAAGTTTTGGTAATTCGCTTCTAAAGTTGGTCCACTCACTTAATAGATTGGATGGCAATTCCTGATCCCACTCTATACCAGAAAGCCACAATTTCTGTATGAATATCTTCGAGGTTATTATAACTGGAGCTATCCAACCTAGAGGATCGAATAAGCGAGATATATCAGATATAACTCTCCGTTTAGTTACAGGGATTTCCATTTCAGGAAGTTTAACGGAATATTCAAAGGAGTCAATGATACTTTTCCAGTTTAATCCTAAAACCTTTCTTGAATCCTCCACATCCTTATCTATTTCTATGTTCACTCCTTTTTCTTTATTTGTTCTACCTACTCCAATACTATCCAATACTTCCACACTATTAGTGACCCATTTTTGTAGTTCAAATCCTCCTTTATTTAATAATGTATTAATCTCTTTGTATATTTTCAGGGCTTCATCGGCGGTCTCACAGCCTGTTAACAAATCATCCACATAGAAATCACGTAAAACTATTTCAGATGCCTTTGGATAATCATGACTTTCATCATGTGCTAGTTGCTGCAATGCCCTTACAGCTAAATAAGGGGCTGATAAGGTGCCAAATGTGACACGAAGCATTCCATAATGTCGTAAGATCTCTTTTTGCACAGTTAAATATCTCCTAATTTAATTTTTAAAATTTTACAAGTGTTTTGAACTTAGCACTCAGGGGAAAATCAGGCATAGGTTCCCCGTATGTACCAAATTCTTAAAATTATTCTAAGTCTAAATATAAATTATTTAGCAAAGTTCATATTTTGAATTAATTTTACTATGTTTAAATATCTTAACAAATAAAGTTCAAATTCTGCTTCTTTTCACTTGACACAACAACTTGTAAATAAATAAAATGCACTCACGGTTTGACACTTCAACTTACTACAGATGTACCTCACTGATATTCTGTCAGCGACGCCAGCCTTTTCTTCAGTACCTTAGACACGTTCGATAAACCTGTTCTTCCTGCTCCGTCGGTTTCCTTCTATTGTAACCTCTCCTAATTTACTTGCTCTAACTTTTCCACAGCTCCATTAACAAATTTAGTGCTATCTACTTCACTCCGCTTCACATGTAAAGAAGAGGTGGGAGCAAAATATATGCCGCTTGAACACTATCGACGACAATTCATCGCCTCATCAGCATCCTTATGAATACTGCCGACAGTTCCAGAGATAATATCCGGCTCGAAGGACCATGTATAGCTTCATACTTTCAAAAATCTTCACCAATACTATATGTGTTCATTAGAAATGAAACTCCAAATGTACTGTGGTATACTATGTAGTGCATGTATTTGCTAAAGAGTACAAAAATCGCAAACTTACTTAATGGTCCGGCTGGACACTCTACATCGTGAATTAATTTTTACCTTATAAATAAATTGGCGACACCTAGTGTTCAATCATTTACAATACAATAGAAAATAACACAGACTACTAGATGACAACTAAATTAGAATACAGCGCAACAATGACATAAGTTATTATTGAAATTCATATCATCTGTAAATGAATATTATCTGTATTTTACAAGCAGTGGTGAAGAGAATGTTCTTGGTAGATTCGGTCACGGTAAGAGAAGCAAGATGGGCAAAAAATGATTGCTTGCTAGAAACTAATTGAACTATACTAAACAGTCTACAGAAAGAAATACAAAACCAAATGGACTCGAAAATCAACCGATGGAAAATATAGGAACGAAATAGACTATATTACAACTAATAATCATAGAGCTTTCACAAACACTGGAGTAATCCAAACACTAAACTTTAACACTAACCATCGTATGGTTCGTTCATCTCTTCTGTTGATACCTGCAGCAAAATAATCACGGAAAATCTCAAAATAAGTAACAAAGTGAAAGAAATCAAAATGCCTTATTCCCCTCTTTCAAAGCATAGCACAGCTCCTAGGGAGAGCTGGAAAGAGCTAGATCTACAGACAAGGTACAACTTAATAGAAAACCAACTGAGTGGCACACCTACTTCCTCAAAAGACAAAACACGTAAATTGAGTACAGAAACAATTGAACTTATAGAGGAGAGAAAAAAATTAATGTCAAAAACTTGGAAAGACGGAAATTTAAAAGAAAGAGAGCTTGCCGCATTAAGTAAAACTATTTAAAAGGCCATTAAAAATAACCGGAAGAAACACAAGCGGAAAAAAGGAAGGCACTTAAAGAGCTACGGGAAGTTACCAAGAAATGGATCCCCGAAATCAGAAAACAGAATAAAGCATATAATAAACGTAAGGGCATCATAGAGTGTGCCAGTGATTTCTACCGACGTCTCTACAGTAGAGAAGTACCGTTGCATAAAAAGTTTAAAACGCTTATTACAACATATGACAAGCCCCTATCTATATTATGTAGCGAGGTAGAGAAAGCTTAAAGCTCACAAAAACTAAATAAAGTACCCGGACCACACAAGATTACGAATGAGGCTCTACAAGGAACATCTAAGGAGTTATGTCCAATACTTGCAAGAATGTTTATTGAAATATTATATAGAGATCAAATACCGTATCAATGGTCAAAATCACACATCATATTGATACACAAAAGGGGGAGCAAAAGATGAAATAGGCAATTACAGACCAATCAGCTTAATGTCAAACATTTACAAAATATTCGCTAAAATAATTCTCGACAACTCTTCACGATCGATCACTCTTCAATTAGACGAAAATCAACCAATAGAACAGGCGAGTTTTAGACGTAACTTTTCAACCAGTGACTATATCTACACGGTTAAACAGGTTCTCGAAAGGTACAATGAATATAATAAACCACTCTACTTAGCCTTTGTAGATTATAAAAAAAAGCATTTGACAGTTTATACCAAGAAATAATCTGGGAGAGTCTAGAAAGGCAAGGCATTCACAAAACGTACATAAACATTCTAAAACAAGTCTATGATGAATGCTCAGCAAGAATATACCTCGAAACACTAGGAGACGAGTTCCCTATAAGAAGAGGAGTCAGACAAGGTGACCCTATTTCTCCAAAGCTGTTTTCCTCGGCTCTAGAACATATATTCCGACAAATAAATTGGGATGCAATGGGCTTGAACATAAATGGAAGAAGACTTCTCCACCTCAGATTCACCGATGATATCGTTTTATTCGAAGAGAATCCCAAAACACTTGAAATAATGATAAAAGATCTATCAAATGAAAGTAAAAAGCTGGTTTGGAAATGAACACCGAGAAAACCAAAATAATGTCCAATAGGGATCAGATACTAATAGTTGTTGACGGTGAAGTAATTTTAGTACTTCACCGTCAACGTGGAAGAATACACTTACTTAGGCCAAATCATATCACTGAAAGACCTAACTTCCAAGGAAATAAATAAAAGAATAGCGAATGGGTGAAAAAAGTATTGGTCACTAAAAGAAATAATGAAGAGCAAAGAGTTGGGAATGGCAGGAAAACGAAAAGGTTCGAAATGTGTATTCTTCCCTGCTTAACATACGAATGACCCTTAAGTAGGGACTGAATAAGTTAACCGACTTGGTATTACATGGATTTCACAGCTTTTTACGGTAGAAGGACTGAATTGCGAGACTTGGTTTTTTTACAAGTTATGTTTTGATGGCTGTATTTGACGTGAGGAACCGATGCTCCGGGAATTCTGCAGTATGTGATTATCGGCTCAAACATTACATCAGATTTGACGGTCATGGTAAAATGGTTCCTGGGCACCGTTGGTCTGGAGGGCTTGCTTTCAACTGCTGGTGCTGGTGCCGTCCTTTCCGGCTGCGGCAACGGTGCCTTGGGCATAGTGAACGAAGACATAACGACTTCCGCTTTGGGATATCCATCTGCCGCTGGTCTGGCGTACGGACCTGGAATTGCTGCCGGTATCGACTACGGCCCTTCCATTGTTTGACGTGGTTTCGATGGCTGGAGGTGCTGTATCCAATAATAATGTTTCCTACTACCAAATGTCACCCGTAAATACAAATGTATGAATAAAAGAAAATAAATAATCCTTTGGTTGTTTGTTTTTATTTAAGCATTTTAATCCATAAAATATAAAAGAAACAGATAGTATTAATTTTAAAACAAAAACAACCTTAGGTCCAGTTTCAGCATGTTCAATATGTCATGAGTATCTGCCATTACATACTCTCATGAGTAACTGCCATTGCAATACTGCATAACCAACTGCTACAATTTTAAGTTAAAGTTATTTATAACTTACCGAAATATGATTTATTTTTTATTATTTAAGCACCTTTCGCAATTTATATTCTTATAGGATTAACCTTTAAATAAATCTTTTTATAGTGAAACGATCCCCTCCTCCATATATATTAGTATATTAAACCATAAGCAACATTTAACAAAAAATATTTTATGTGATACCTGCCTAATGAAAATAGATCTCTTCAAAGTTTTGTAGTAAGCTGTATTTCAGCTTAATAGCGTTACGAGTATGTACGTTGTATTTTTTTTAGAAACTTTATATTCTTTAAGATATCTTTTGGGAGAACAAATAGAACTATTGGACCCCGTTCATAATTATTCATCATTTCAGCCCTTCACAAGTCCACTGCTGAACATAGACCTTTCCCAAGAAATGCCACAAAGCACGGTCCTAAACTATCTGGATCCATCGTCTACATATAACATAACATAACATAATATAAACACTCACGACTGTCACACAGAGGGGTATGCAGAGACTACAGACATCCATTTGGCACGATCCTGACACACCTCTCTTGCCTCCTTCACATCCATACACCTACGCATACATGCTCGTCGGTTAAGGGTACTCCTAATTCGGCCCGTTTTCAATAAATCGCCAATTTGGTCGATAAATTTTCGCCTAGGACGTCCCTTTCCGACTCTGCCATTCACTTCTGCACCATAAATTTTCTTTGTCACTCTTTCCTCATTCATTCTTTCCACATGACCAAACCACCGAAGCATTCCTTTCTTAATCCTGGTCACATCATCATCTTGCAAACCACACTTTTCTCTTATTATACAATTTCTTACCATGTCATTCAGATTCAGCCCTAACATACTTCTTAACGACCGCATTTCTACTGCGTTTATTCTACTCTCGTGCTTCTTCTGCCACACCCAACTTTCACTACCATTCGTTAAAGTAGGAACCAACACAGCGTTGTGAATTGCCATACGTGCCTTTTTCGACACATTTTGACTCTTCACAATAGAGTGCAAGGCCCCATTTACTCTATTTCCCATATTCACTCGTCGTTCTATATCTTTATCATATCTCCCATTCCTGCTAAATACGCAGCCCAAATATACAAACTCATCTACTTGCTCGATCAACTCCCCTTCTATTCTTTTTTCACAAATCGTTTTAATTTCTTCTCTTTCAAAAACCATAACCTTCGTCTAACTTGCGTTCACTTTCATACCCCTTTCTTTTAATGATCCGTTCATTAATGTAACCATCATTTGCAACTCGGCCGCCGACGACGCAAGAATAACTTGATCATCGGCGTACAAAAGGCATTTGACGGTTAACTAATTCTTAATCCGCATTCTTCAACTTTCAAATTTTGAAAACAACTGTCCATAAATAGGTTGAAGAGCCACGGGGAAGCCAAACAGCCCTGTCTGACACCTTTATGGATGTCAAACCAGTCCGAGTAGACCCCGTTGATCCTAACACAAGCACTAGAGTCCCTATAAAGAGACTCCAATGCCTGTATCAAGCCAGTGCTCAACCCAAATGAGTTCAGTGTTTGCCATAGCAAATCCCTATCCACTCTGTCATGGGCCTTTTCCAAGTCCATGAACGCACAAAAAACCTTTTGGTTTTTGGCCAGAAACTTCTCCGCGATCATGCGCATGGATAAGACTTGATCTGTACATCCCATTCCCTTTCTAAATCCCGCTTGCACATCCCAAATTTTTCCATCAGTTTGTTTCATGACCCTTTCAATCAGTACCTTTGCATACAGTTTTCCCACAATGCAAAGAAGGCTGATGCCACGGTAGTTTTTACAGTCCTGCTGCGACCATTTTCCCTTATATACTGGGACTATCTCGGATTTGCACCAGTCTACCGGTACCCGCTTCAGTTCCCAGCATAAATTATACAAGGTGTGCAGCAGGCCTGCCACCACTTCCTCTCCAGCCCTTAGCATTTCGAGTGAAACTCTATCATATCCGGCAGCCTTACCTGCTTTCATGCTTTTCATTGCTTTCATTATTTCATCTATACTTATCTCGCTACCTCTTTCCTCTTCTTTCGGTGTTTCTACTTCACTTAGTACACACGTTGTCTCCTCACTCATAAACACGCTTTCGAAATATTCCTTCCATCTCTTTAAACTCAAAACTTCCAGAACATTTTAATATTTGCCTGGAAGTTATCCGATATTCTTCTATCATTTTTATCCGTTCTTTCTTGCTTTTTTCTTTCAACTACTTCTTTTACTCTCTTATTAAGATGTCTAAAGACTGCCCTTTTTCTTTCAATATCATCATTCGTACCGCTAGAATTACCAGCCATTGTTGCTAGTAAATCTAGCCATGCTCTCTTCTTTGCTTCAACTTCCATACGTATTATTTTTCCTTTCATTATTTCTCTTACTAACACCACATACTTCGGTAGTTGCATCCACTAAACTTTTCTTTACATTTTGCCATATATTCTCCAAGTCCAACTCCTTCATACATAATTCATCCAAACCAGTTATATTTTCTTTCAGTCTACATTTGAACTTGTTTTTATCACTTTCATCTTGTAACCTTTCTGTTCTAATACGCTGTAACGCAGTGGTAGACACAGACAATCGATGGCGCCAACGCCTGAATAGACCACTAATTCGTCATAAAACTAAATAATGATCCGTTCCTACGTTAGAATCTAAACTAACGTAACGTAACGTAACGTAACGTAAACTCTCGTATCTACCACTGCGCCCCTCAATCTTTCATCCACAATTTTGAAATCTATAATGCTTCTGTAGCCGTGGAAGGAAAAGGGGAGATCTCCCGCCGGACAAGGTGGTCTGCCAGGGGAGCGGCCAGCACTTCGTGAGATAGTTCGGAGATGTTCTATATATGCTATTTATGATTCGGAATATTGATAGCGCGATTTAGGCTTCGGTGTGTTTCACTTGTAGTGCAACGACAGCGCCGCTACATCACCCCCCTGCTCAGACCGGAGGTCGATAGTGCAGCCTCGTTACCGACGAATGTGCAAGTGCCAGGAGCGCCTTGCCTTGTAGTCTGCGGTGAGTCGAGAAGAAGGCAAGTAATCTGCGAGAGTGCCGTGAAGCAGAGGCAAGCAGTAAGGCTCAGAGCCGTGCCGAACACTGTATAGCGCAGAGAGTAGCTTGAAGGAACAGGAAGCATTATTATTCCAGTGCTGCGATGAACCTTGTGAAGCTAGATGGCTTGCAGGATATGAAGACTGCAGACGATATCTGCTCGGGAGCGAATGGGTGGGGTATTCTATGACGTTGAGGAAGCTTGAAGTTTCCGAAGGTTGTTGGTTGCGTGTTCAGATCACGTCGGTTATTCACCACTGTGGCCGTGGTAGGAAAAGGGGAGATCTCCCTGCCGGGCAAGGTGTTCTGCCCGGGGAGCGGCCAACACTCCGTGTGATAGTTCGGAGATGTTCTATATATGCTATTTATGATTCGGAATATTGATAGCGCGATTTAGGCTTCGGTGTGTTTCACTTGTAGTGCAACGACAGCGCCGCTACACTTCTATTGTCACCTCTTTCCCAAGTATACATGTGAATCCTCTTGTGGCGAAAGCAAGTGTTCGTCACAAAAAGATTCTTTTCCGTACATACGGTGAGAAGACTTTCACCATTCTCATTTATACTTTCATCACCAAACGTTCCCAATATCCTTTCATTACCAAGCCTCCTGACCCCAACCCTTCCATTAAAATCTCCTAGCATAATAATATTTTCATTTCCCTTACACTTCATTAACACCATCCTTACCATTTCCCAAAACTGCTCTCGGATATAAGTGGGCTTAGACATGTATGGGGCGTAGACCCCTAACACAAATAACTTCTTTAAGCCCACTTTTATTTGTATCCATAGCAGTCTTGGGCTTACACGTTCATACTCTTTCACACATTGGCCCATTTTTTCTGAAAGGATGATACCTACTCCCTGGCATGCCCGCTCGATCTCGTCTACACCAGACCAGTATGCGGTATACATGCCATGTGTAGTGACATCCTTCCCCTTCCTTTTCGTCTCATTTACGCATAACACATCTATTCCTCTATCATACATCATATCGCATACTTCATTCATTGCCCCACATACATTCAACGTAGCCAAACGGGCCTCTGCAATCCACTTTTCGCCTCTCCGGGAGACAGAACGTGACAGGTGGCGAACCTCGTCGCCGGTTTTCCTGCCGGAGATTCTTCGCACCCCTGCCCTATTAAAGGGGCGCAGGGAACTATATATTTAGGGTATATTTAACGCCGCTACCACGGCGTGGAGCCGAGTCTGTGGTATCGGCTTGTCGTCTCCCTGCATGTCTTACCAGGTCGTCTCTCCATCTCCTCCGAACGAGTTCCTACCTTGTTGTTAGTGATGACCTATGACGATGGGGGCTTAGTAGCCGTGGCTCGGTCACCCGCGGTGAACAAAAAGGAAAGAAAGGAGGAGAGTGTTGGTATGGCAATTCGCCACTCGCCCTATCCTCCGCGACTCAAACGGGGCCGCACCGTTGATGCAGTGGTGGTGGGGCTGCGGGTGGAGAGGAGTTTCGGTATTGCGAGGCACCACTCTCCCTACTCTTCAGAGCCAAATCTTGGTTGTCAGCGGAACCATATACTAGATCCTCCGCCGGGGTCGGGAAGGCTATTGCTTCTGAGTGCTCGTTTTTCCTGGCCCAATGGCCTTTGCGCATCGGA